TGGGGGCTGCAGGGTCCCCTAGGGACCGGGGAGAGGGGTGCCCGCACCGCGCAGGAGCCGCCTGCCACTGTGTCCGTCGGGAGGCTGGGAGCGCTCCACTCGGGAGGAGGGCTGGGCTCCAGCAGTCCACATGCATGCGCATGCATGTCTGTGCACACGGATACACACTCCTGTACACTCGTGTGCAAACACAGACATACATGTGCACACGTGCACTAGCACTTCATGTAAGAAATTGAAGTGCCTGTGACAGGCAGGGGTGTCCGTGCTCACAGGCGTGCAGACCCACGTGCCTCACACACGCGCACCCGTGCGCATGCTTGCACACACGCTCAGGAGCTTGGGGAGCTAGAACCAGTCCGCGGGGCTCCCACTCCCGTGGAGGGCAAGGTCCCTGCCGACACATCATTAGTGGGGATCAAAGAGGGCGTCGCGGGCGCCAGCTCCAGCCTGGAAAAGGCCCCAGCGGCGCAGCTGTCCCCAGCTCAGGAAGTCACTGGTGGGGGCTGGGCTGATGTGATCACATGGTTGGGGGTGCAGGGACCCAGAAGCCAGCTCGTGCGCGGGGACAGGACACGGGTCAGGCTGTGGACGGGCCCCTGCGCTGGGTCCCCCCGGCCGCCGGCCCCTCCCCTGCTCTGTGCACACGAGCTGCCCTTGTGAGAGAAGATTCTAAATTCCGGGACTCTCGATGCCTCCCGAGTGAGGTGGGATGCTCGGAGCGGAAGAGGCCGTTTATGAGATTCATGAACAGACTTTTAAAATGGGTGGCATCGCGTCTGGATGCTAATGTGGGCTTAGGAAAACTAGACTGTTTTGCATTTGGGAAATGATCTACGGCTCCTCTTTGAAATAATTTTGCTGAAGTAAAAAGGGGGAGGCAGCTCATTTAGAGAGAAATATTAACTGTCTTGGTTTCCGGTGCTATGACCGGGAGCGGGTGGCTGTCGGCAGTGGAGGGGGGCCTCGGGGAAGCCCCAAGGAGTCCGCGCAGAGCTCACCCCCAGGCAGCTCCTGAAAGCTCTCCCCGCCCCTTCCTCCGCCGGTCACCTTGGAGGGCCGCCGGCAGGAGGCTGGCGAGTGCGGATATTAGCCCACACGTCTCACCCCAGTGGCAGAGCCAAGTGCGGGCGTCGCACCTTCCCGCCCAGCGAGCACCCCTTGCAGCTCGGCCCCAGGCAGGTGCGCGGGGCAGGGCTTCCTCCTCCCGCAGCCAGAGCCACGGCGGTGGAGGGCAGCGGCCGCGGGCCCGGCCGTTCTCTCGGCTAGCAGGGGGGTCGTTTTCCCCGCTCGCCCTAAGGCCCGTCCTCCCCCGGCCGCCTCAGAATTCTCGCGTCGCCCATCCGTGACCGCTGGTTTCTCTATTTCACGTCGTCGGGTCGTCCGCCACGGGAACGTCTGACCTGACTCACCTTATCACGCGTCACTCCCTGCTCTCCCTCCCCTTTGCTGCAAGAGGCGACGTTTCCTCTGCCCGCCGGCTGAGAAGCCTCCGCGGTGTGGCCAGGCCAAGCTCCCGGACCGGCCCCCGTGGGCACCTGGATGGACGCGCGTCCGCGCCCACCGTGGCGAGCACCTGGAGGGAACACCGTGGGGCCTGTTGGTTTTGAGTCGAGGGTTACCCGCTCCTCAGACGGGAGCCGGTGGGGTGGCAGCACCCCACTTCAGGCCACTCCTCGTTCTCTGCCAGCTCTCCTCCCCCGCCACTGCCAGCGGCCGACCTGGCATTCGCTCGGGTTGGTTCACGGCCCGACTCTTGTAGCTGGGACGGCGCAGCTTCCCGACGGCTCCCGCACGCTCGTGAGGGGATCAGCCTCGGGTCTAAAAAGCAGAAATGCAGCTTCCCAGGCCACCCTTGCTCTGACGCTGACGCTGGTGGTCAGCCCGGCTGCCATCCGCCTGGGCTCCCCAGCGAGCGTGTGCCCCGGTGCCGGGAGGCCGCGTCCAGCTGGTGGCGGCGTCTGCCCCGGCCTCCCACGGGCGCCGTCAGTCCTCCACCTCCCCTCCTGCACGCCCAGCCCTGTTGGCAGAGCCCGCCCCACCGACCGGCCTCCCTCCGGCGGGGTCACGTGCGGAGGAATCGGGCCTCGGCCCTTCAGCACCGGAGCTGGGAAGAAGCACAGCTCACCCTGGATGGCGCCGGGTCCACCTTCCCTTTCCCCGTGGAGCAGAGACCAGAGGTCCCCGGGACCCCACCCCTGCACTCGCGCTCCTGTACCCCCGCCCCAGTGGCTTCGCGGCGCTCTGGAGAGGGCACCTCCCGTGGAGAGCGGGGCTGCCCCGAGACGGTGGGAGCCAGACTCCCGCCTCCGCGGCTTCTGCTCGGTATTGGTTTTCTCTAAGGAACGTCTAATCCTCCTGCATTACCCGAGACAAGCACGTGCTGAAGAGCGTTTCTTTGGTGCATTTCTTTGGTGTTTAACTGAGCAGCAGCAGCATCTGTAAACGTAGGTGGGCCTGTAGGCCTGGGGCTCCCCTGGGCAGGACTTGGGGCTCCCCAGGCTGGACGGGGTTCTCCCAGCAATGCTGGGCCTTGGCCACTGCTGAGTGGGAGTGACCCGGTGTGCAGCGCTGCCGGCAGGCGGGGTTGTGAAGGACATGGTGAATGCCAGTGGTGTCTGAGGACCCCGGGGCTCTCCATGCGTGGCCGCCCGCCCTGGCCACGGCCTGTCACCCGGCGGCTGTCCCCAGCACCCTGGGCTCACGGTCTGCAGGGCCGGGACAGCGCTGGGTTTCAGGGACACACGGCAGCCCAGCATCAGCTCCCACCACGAGGCCGGGCGCCCCCAGGCTGGCCTCCAGCCCTGGAGTCTCTCCACCGGCTCTCGTGGCGAACGTCTGCCCGGGACCATGTTCCCGCAGCAGCGGCTCCCGGAGCCAGACAGAACCCGCAAGCGCCCCAGGGGAACATGTCGTGAGCGATGTCGGCGTTCCAGCCTCCGCGGCCTCCTCCCCGCGGGGCGCACCGGCCACGACAGCAAGAAGCCGGAGCCGTGCAGCGGAAAGAACAATTTGTGGCTTCAGTGAGACGGCGAGCCTTGCGCAAAACCCGAAGCAGCAAACCCAGTTTCCAGCCGCGTCCTTTCGCGAGGCAGGTCTCCTGGCAGGGCAGGCAGAGGCGGGGGCTAGGGCCCTGGGCCGCCCCCGGGGGCCCGAGATGGGGCTTCCAGCGCCCAGGTCTCCCTGTGGCCAAGGCGGACGGGGACATTTCTGAAGACCAGCGTGGGCTGCCCGGGGCCTGCGGGCCGGGAGGTGGCTGCATTTGGATACTGGGTTTGCAAGGAGCTCACCCCACCCCCTCCCGGGTCCCCCAGAGTGACCAGCTGGACATCCTGTCCGTTCAGCCTTTAGCCATTCTCAAGGACGTGTGCATGCGTGTGTGTGTGTGTGTGTGTGTGTGTGTGTGTGTGTGAGTCACTAACATAAGATGCACCTTTGCAGGTAGTTTAAGGAGTCAGATGAGGGCTTGGTGGTGGCGACCGCAGGTAACGTTCTCTGAGTGACCGGACCCGAGGCCAGAGGCCCTGCTGGTGCCGGGGCTGGGGTCCACAAGCCCGGGGTGTCGGCACGAGACAGTTCTGTGTCCCTACGTGGTGAGGAGGTCCCGGTCTGCATGCGTGTGCGATGCCACAGAATGTTGCGCGGGCATCAAGAGCGTGCGAGCACAGTGGCGTCGAAGCAAGTCTGGACTCCGCCCCGTCATGGCACCAGGTCCACCTCCTGTTCCAGCCACGGCCCGGGCTCCGGGGGATGCAGGAGCTGCTGGGGTGAGCAGCCGGGGACTGCTTTGGGGCAGCTGGGGTGAGAGCAGAGCTTCTCCTTTCAACTTCTTCTTGACTCGAGCATGGCGCCGTCGAGGCGGGCTTCCAGAAGCGCCGCCGGCCTCCCTGCCTGTCCGTGTGTCCGTCCCCGGAGGCAGCGGGAGCTGCGATGCCTCCTTGTTCTGAAACAGATGCAGCATCACGCACGGGGGCAGGTGCCCCTTGCCGGAACCTCCCTGGCTGAGGACCTCAGCCACGGGGTCCTCCTCCATCTGCTCCGTTTGGGGGATCCTCTTCCGTGCCTCCGGCAGACCCTGGAAACCAGAAGCAGAAGGATAGCGGGTCCTCCCCCCTCCCACCTTCGGAGGGGGCGACCCCAAGCAGGGGGGCCCTGGTGAGCCTGAGCACCCAGACAGGGTGCCCCGTTTGGAAGTTTCTCCCCACTCACCCCTCAGCTTCCAGTTCCCCAAAGTCGCCGCGGGCATGGGTCTGCCTCCCACCGCTGGGGGTGGGGGGCCTTTCAGCGCCGTCCCTGTCATTCCCGGGTGGAACGAGGACAGAGGGTGGCTCTGTCTGTGTCTGGCCGCGAGCGCGCTCATCGGCTTGCGCTGAGAAGCCCGAGGGCCAGCGAGGCCGCGACGCGGCAGGCAGCAGCCCCAAGAGGCGCCTGGCCCCTGAGTGCGCTGGGCCGAGCATGCGGAGGGGACGGGGCCACCCAGCTGCAGGGCACCACCAGCCAGTCCCGGGGGCGCCCGACTCTGCCCTGCCCCTGTGTGGCTGCCGCAGCGTAGCTCAGGCGGCTCGTGTTACCTCCCGCGTCAGAGGAGGGACGGGCCACAGGGCCCACAGCCGCAAAGTGGGGAGACGGGGCTTCCCACCCCATCCCGCTGACGCCGTGGCCTGGGCGAGCGTGTTGTGGGGTGTGCGGCCGCGTCCCGGTCCCGTCCACCAGACAGCACCCCCACCCCCACTCGTGACGCCCCACAATGCCCCGGACGTGGTCACGTGTCCCTCAGGACGGCCCCCATGGAGAGCGGCCGCCCCGTGGCTCCAGGGACGCCGAGGGCCCTCGCCCCCCCACCACCCAGGTCTGGACGGAAGCGCCACGGTCCCTCGTCCCGGGAGCCCCCCAGCACAGTGAGAAACCCGGAAAAGCGAAAGGCGCCAGGGCCGCTCAGGGCCGACGCGCTGGCCGGCCAGCTCGCTAACCTGTGGCTCTCCTGCCCGCTTGCTCCCCAGGGCCAAGGTGAAGAACGGGGTGAACGTCCTGAGCGCCAGGAGCGGCGGGCCCCGGCTCTGGGACGTGCAGCAGGAGCTGGGGAGTGGCGGGAAGCACAGCGTGGCCGCCCTGGTGTGCCGGCGCCTGGGGCCCAGCGCGCGCAACAGGTAAGCGGCTACCTGCACCCGCACCGCCGCCGGCCAGAGGGGCAAGCGGCCCTCGCCACGCCGGCCCCCGCCCGGGAGGGAGGCCGGCCCCGCGGAGCTGTCACCCTGCGGCCTGGCGGAGGCACCATCGGGCCCGCAGCCCCCAGGGCCGGGCGGCCCCGGAACAGACAGGCACTGAGAGGCCGGCTCTGCTCTGCGGGGCCCTGCCCGCTCTGGCCCCGCGGCTCCGGCTGGGTCCTCTCCGCCCCTGGGGTCAGGAGAGGCTCGCCCTGCGCAGCGCCCTGGGGTGCTGGTGGGGGATTCCAGGCGGGAGGCGGCGCCGCGTAGGTCGTGAGCTCCTGTGCCGACGTCCGGATTATTCCCTAGAGCAGCCGTTTTCTGAGCATGAAAGTCACTCACGCTCACGGCAGAGCATGTGCTGGGCCCGGAGACGTAAGCAAAGACCGAAGTCCCGTCTCAGGGTCCTCCCGCCCGAGCGCGACCCCTGCTGACGCGCGTTTCGTGCATCCGGACGTCTGCCCCGCCCTGGGCGGCCCGTTTGCCTCCCAGAGGTCTCAAGGTTCCCCTGTTCGGATCCTTACTCCCCTCTCACCTCGATCGAAAACACCCACGCCGGACATCACGTGCGCTTCATACACGCTGTGACGGCTGCTTCGCGGCCCGAGCCGTGGGTTTCTACCGGGTGGTAGAGCCGGAGCCGCATTTGGGGCATTAAGCTCCGTCTGAGGCTTATTCTCGTAGCGAAGGCGGCCGGGATCCCCCACATCACCTCTGCTCCTTTCTCCTGCGGCTCCAGGGACTTCTTAGAAACCCGACGTCCCGTCGTCTGTCCGGGCTCCAGGTGCCGTCTCCCGCGGGTGTCCTGACAGCGTCCGCGCTCAGGGGAGAGGCTGCCTGAAAAATTCTCCATTTTGTTTCAAAACACTCAGCTCTTTTTTCAAACCCCCACCAGCCCTTCCTCTTGTGAGCAGCCGGCACAAGCATCTGGTTCCCCACCCCGTCCCTACCCCAGGAGGACTGTTAGTCGGACATGGGGGTAAGGATGGGTGGTGAAGACCCTAAGAAATGCCCCTGGGGTCTCTGGTTATAGCGGAGGAGCAGAGGCCAAAGTAAATCTCCCACATCAAATGCACGTAAAGTCTAATTAACCCACGAGATCAGCGTTGATTATGCAAATAAAAGTGAATGTGTTCATGAATGGTGAATTTATGTATGTAAATAGCCCTTCCTGTCACCATCAGAAGGACACTCCGAGTGAGGGAGACGGAGACCCACTGTGGCGAGTCTGTGGCGTTCGAGTTCTAGAACTCTCCTTGACCCTGTCGTGATCGCTGAGATGCCGCGTGGCTCCCCCGGGCGTGAGTCACGGCTATTCCCCACTGGACGCTCCGTCCTGGCTCCTGGCTCTGCCCTCTTGGATCCGACTTCTGGGTTGGGTTGCGGTGGCCAGTGGGGGTCTCGGGAGCCCCGCTGACCCCACACAGACTCCGTTTTTGCAATGCAGCATGTCCCAGGGGAGGCTTGCCTCTGCAGCTGACCACGACCTCCAGGCCCTGGGTGGCCCCAGCTCCCTGTCCCGAGCTTACCCCGCACGTGTCTCGTCACTGACCACCCTGCGCACACCGCACAGCCACGCTGGCTGCTGCCCTGGGGCCTCTGCATCCGCTCTTCCCTCGGACTGGATCTTTTCCCTTTAGGTTCTAGCGCAAATGTCGTCTTCCCGGAGAGGCTGTCTGTGGCCGCTCCCACCAATCACCTGTTTCATTTTCTTTCTAGAACTTACCAGAGTGAAATTGCCTTTGTGTGTGTTTTCCGCCTGCCCCCCACCCTAGGTGTGTGAGCCCCGTGAAGGCAGGCGGGACGTGCCACATCTGTATTTTCACGGCTCCCGTGAGTTGCTGGCACAGAGCAGGGACTCAGGCACTAGCCAAGAGGATAGTCACACACGTGGTCTTTGCAACCATACGTTGAGCTGAATTATCTTGTCTCCAGATTACGGAGGAGGACACGGGCCAGAGGCGCCTCTGTGAAGGGTTGAAGGGAGGTTTTCTGAATGACTGAAATGAGCGAATGTTGTTAAGACACCCCGAGTTAGCACAAGGAGGCCACTGTCAGAAAAGGGACAGCTCGGAGTGGGTGTGGGCTGGGAGGATGGCCCCCCGCGGGCCACGATGGGAACCCCAAGGCTCTGGAAGGGGCTGCAGCGGGAGCACCCTCCACGCTGCCCCCAGCACCTCCCCCCAGCCCTCTCAGCAGTGTGATGAGCGGGAGGTGGTGTTCCTCCCGTCAGGGGTTTACGAAGCAGTTTGTTTATGGCCGTGTTGTGGAAGCACTGCCGACCCTAAACACATTTTCTGAAGATGTCCTTCCAGCTGGCAAGAGCTTCACAGCTTTGCCCAGCCTGAAGCTTCCTAGTCGTGAGGAAATAGAGCTTTCCTTCATCTTGACATGTCTGCCAGGCTGCCGCATGGGCCCCAGGGCCTGCAGGGGACAGAAAGGCTCAGACGCTTCCCCAAGGGCTTGGGAACTAAGGACTGTCCAGGTGCTGTATTCTGAAAGCCTGTTCACCTTGACTGCAAGGAAACTTCTGGTCGCATAACCCTGATTAGAGAGTCTCAGAGTGGGAGCCTGAACTTTTGTGTATGCTTAGTAAACAGATGAGTGAGTGTCTGCCAGACACTGGACTCATCAAGGTTCATGAGAAAGCTAGGCTTGCACCTCATGGAATTCATTGTTTGAAAAGTTGGAAAGTAATGAAATAAGCACACTTTCCACGCTGGTCAGTGTTAGGAATAACAGGTGTGTAGTGTTGAAGAACCCACTATGAGGGTGGTATTTCTTAGGGTATAGATCACATGTCTATAAAAAACATTTATTTAATTTATTTTATTTATGTAAATTAAAGGAAATGTTATTTTCCTGACACATAAGCATCTAGAGTGGGTCTATTCTACAAGACCATCAGAAGCCCACACTGCTTCTTTCCAGTTGCTCTGGTGCCACCAGAGGCTGTGCTGCTCCTGTGGCCCAAGATGGCACCTTCACTCAGTGATCCAAGATGGCGTCCTCACTCAGTGGCCCAAGATGGCGCCCTCAATCAGTAATCCAACATGGCACCCTCACTCAGTGATCCAAGATCAGTGGCCCAAGATGGCGCCCTCACTCAGTGATCCAAGATCAGTGGCCCAAGATGGCACCCTCACTCAGTGATCCAAGATGGCACCCTCACTCAGTGATCCAAGATGGCGTCCTCACTCAGTGATCGAAGATGGCGTCCTCACTCAGTGGCCCAAGATGGCGTCCTCACCCAGTGGCCCAAGATGGCATCCTCACTCAGTGATCCAAGATGGCGTCCTCACTCAGTGATCCAAGATCAGTGGCCCAAGATGGCGCCCTCACTCAATGATCCAATATGGCGTCCTCACTCAATGATCCAATATGGCGTCCTCACTCAGTGACCCAAGATGGCGGCCTCACTCAGTGGCCCAATATGGCGCCCTCACTCAGTGACCCAAAATCAGTGGCCCAAGTTGGCACTCTCACTCAGTGGCCCAAGATGATTGCACCAGTGCCCAGAAGCCCAGCCCTGGGACAGGGAGGACCGGGAGGCAGTGGATGCCAGAACATGGGGAAGTATTTTTGTCTTTACCGGAAGGACACTAGTTCATGGGTCAGAATCAGAATCTGAGTCTGTTCCACCTTCTGCTGGGAGCAGTCGTCCTCCAGACCAGAGACGTGGACTACTCTGCCCGGACCCCGATGCCTGGCCCCGCCACTCTGAAGCTCAAACCCCCTAAGATGGGAACATACTTTTGGGTTTTTTCCAGGGGAAGTCACAGCAGCTTGTATCAGAGGGAGGAGAAAAGCTGTGAGGAAAGGGGCGGCTCTCCACACGGAGGGAGAAATCTGACCCCTGAGAACTCGTCCCGTCCCGCAGCCCTCTCCTTGCCTCCCCCCCAGCGGCGCAGCGGCGGGCCTGCCCGCCTTCCCGGGGTCACCGGGTGCCTTTCCTCCTGCTGTTTCCCACCTCACACTGATTCTTCATAAGCGGCCCTTATCACTCCTCACCCGCTCCCTCGCGCGTGAGCGTCTCCTCGCCAGCGGTGTGCCAAGTAGGGCAGCTAAATGGCAAAGACACCTCGTCCATCATGCTTTTAATTTTCCACCCGGGGAGGAAGCGGTGAGGCTTGAGGATGAAGCGCATCACCTGAACCCTCCCTGGCTCTCCACCAGGAAGCGCCGCCCGCCGCGTCTCTGTGCCAAGACAGACAATGCGAGTCTCTGTCTGCGCCGCCTGCGCCCCCTGCGAGTGGGGTTGGCTCTGGTGAAAGGGTCAGCCCAGGTGAGGGAGCCCCGCCCAGCCACTGACCCAGCGAGACAGAAGCTGCGTTCTCCTCTGTGTGGGCGTGTGCCTGGGGAGGCTCTCTGGCCTGCAGGGGTAGCGGGTGCCCAGACACCTTCCACCTCGTTGCCCGCCTCTCTTGGGCATTGCTGAGGTGGACACAATCCAAGATGGCGCGCCACCACCGCCAACCCCAGCCCTTGGGGAGGGGCTGAAGGGAGGCCGAGCGCTGTCCAGACAAGGAGCCCAGAGGCCACACCCTCTGCCACCCCGGTGGCAAGCACACCCACGTGGCCACACTCCTGGAGAGAAGCTGGGAGGGCCCCTTACCCCTTCGGGGACGAGTGCCCAGGGAAGGGGGACAGGAGGAGGAGACAGCCGCAGACCCCGGGGTGCTGACATCAGCTCCGGGTGCTGGAGCCGGCACTGAGTGGGGAGACGCAAGCGCGAGTCCCACAGAGGCCTGTGTCTTCATGCAGTTTAGGGTCTGCAGCAGCTTTTCAGGGGGTGCATGTCCCTGGCTCGTCTCTGCAAACCTCTGAGACTTGGACGTGGCCGCGGGTGTGAGCTCATGTTACAGGTGGCGAAACGGACGTTCAAAGACATTAGACGTGACCACCACCACCCGGCAGGGAACAGCCGCCACTCCCTCGTGCCT